TATTTGTTTTCAAAAGCATCTGTTCATGTTTTTTGCCTACTTTTTTAATACGGTGGTATGCTGTCTTCTTGTAAAGTTGTTTAAGTGTCTTAATTCTGGATATTAAATCTCTGTAAGAAAATAGTTTGCAACTTTAAAAAAATTTTTGTTGATTGTTTAGTCTGTTAATATTTTCCTTTTTTGTGCAAGAGCTCTTCGGTTTAATTCGGTTCCATTTGTCAATTTTTGCTTTTGTTGCAATTGCTTTTGGTATCTTCATCATGAAATCTTTTTGCTAGTTTCTATGCCTAGAATGGTAGTTTCTAGGTTATTTATCTTCCAGGTTTTTTTTTTTTTTAAATCATAAGTTTTGCATTTAAGTCTTTAATTCATCCTGAGTTGATTTTACATATGGTATAAGGAAAGAGACCAGTTTTAATCTTCTACGTAGTTCTAACTAGTTGTTCCAGCACCATTTCTTAAATAGGAAGTTCTTTTCACATTCCTTACATCAGCTTTGTCAAAAATCAGATAGCTGACCCACCTCAGCATCCAAAGTGCTGGGATTACAGGCGTGAGCAATGGTGCCAGGCTGTCAACACAGGAATTTTAAAGCCCCCCTTTGAGAATGTGGCTCTTTGCTTTTCAGATCTTGTGTAGTGACTGCTACAGTTATGAGAGAGGCTCCAGGTGTAAATAGAAGCTGATGACAATCTGTTAAGTGTAAACAAGCATCTTAAGAGTGAGATATCAAGGCCACAAAGTATTCAGGGCCATGACCACAACTATACCTACCTTTAAATTATGATATTGGAATAGAATATTCTTGTCCTTTTTCTTACCCAAAAGCTAGCAAATCAGGATAGGTGATCCAGCTTCTGGAGCTCCACCAAGGCAGTTCCATTTTCTATTTAGAATCAGTCTGAGAGGCCGGACGCGGTGGCTCAAGCCTGTAATCCCAGCACTTTGGGAAGCCGAGGCAGGTGGATCACGAGGTCAAGAGATCAAGACCATCCTGGTCAACATGGTGAAACCCCGTCTCTACTAAAAATACAAAAAATTAGCTGGGCATGGTGGCGCGTGCCTGTAATCCCAGCTACTCAGGAGGCTGAGGCAGGAGAATTGCCTGAACCCAGGAGGCAGAGGTTGCGGTGAGCCGAGATCGCGCCATTGCACTCCAGCCTGGGTTATCATTCGACCATCAGCCCTGGGTCACTGGAAATCCTCTCACAACCAGCTAGATGTCTTTAAGACATTTGAGGATGTCTAGGGCAGAATTGTGTCAGGCTGACAAGAATGATTAATTCTGCTTCTGTATCGGTGTAAGAGAAAGGAGTTATCCTGTGTTGTCTTCTCCCTGATACAAGAGATAACTTTGGTTGGTGCCCAGATGAGAGTTTCTGAAGTTTTCTGGTACTTGGGTGAAAGACAAAGAGGAGGTCTGGTGACAGCTCTGGTGACTCAAACAAATAAACTAATTGCTTCCATTACATATATGGTCATTCAAAAAATAGATACAGCAGTCATGGTCCCTACTATCCACAAACTTTTAGTCTAGACTAGCAACTGGATACATGATTGAAATAAGCATCATATGGTTGGTACAATGAATAGATGTGTGCCAAAACAAACAAACAAAATACTCGGTCCACTTTTTATTTTATTTTTTTAATATTGTTGTAACTTCTGATGTTATTACCTGAAGGGATATTTATGGACGGAAGAGTTGTTATTTTTATTTTTTATTTTTTTTTACTTTTCTAAGAATACATATTTATCTTCTAAAATTATCCTAGAAAGTGAAAACTTTAAAAGATTGATTTAAATTGCTTATTAGTATATGTTATAAAATTGACAAAGCAGTGGCAAAAATAGATTAAAGTTACATAAACTCTGAAATTTAAGTTTTTAGGTAAGCTTAGGAAAAACAGAACTGGAAATACCCCAGAGGCACAGACAACAAATTCTACCTAGGGTCTTCTCCCTGCCTCAGTTCTGATCAGATTCACCCTTTTTGGAGGACTTATTTAGGTCTGGCTCCACCCTGGAGTCTTTCCTTACAAAACTGATGTATAAAGATTCAAGTTTTGGCTGGTAAAGCGTGCTGACTTTCTAGAGCTGGTGTTCACAATATCCTGAAACCCAAAAACAGATACATAAGAAAAATAAAGTGTACATTTCAAGATCTTAATTTTTAAATTTTGTAGTAAAATCAGTGCTTACAGAAACATTCCATTTAGCAACTTGGTTTTTATTCCTGCAGATCTAGTAGTCGCTCCACAAGTCACAAACAAGTAAATATAAACACAAAAAATTTTCTCTAAACTATATTAAACTTTTTCTTTTCTTTTTTTTTCTTTTTTTTTTTTTTTTTTTAGACGGGGTTTCACTCATGTTACCCAGGCTGGAGTGCAATAGCGTGATCTCGGCTCACCGCAACCTCCGCCTCCTGGGTTCAGGCAATTCTCCTGCCTCAGCCTCCTGAGTAGCTGGGATTACAGGCACGCGCCACCATGCCCAGCTAATGTTTTGTATTTTTAGTAGAGACGGGGTTTCACCATGTTGACCAGGATGGTCTCGATCTCTTGACCTCGTGATCCACCCGCCTCTGCCTCCCAAAGTGCTGGGATTACAGGCTTGAGCCACTGCGCCCGGCCCACATTAAACTTTTTCTATATTTATATTTCTTTATCTGTAGATCTTCATCTGTCTATATTTAGCTTTTAGTTATTTCTATTGCTGCCTTCTGTTTTTCCTGTAAACTTTAAGGAGCCAGCAAAGAATATGAAACTTTAGAGTGGAGATTTTTTTGTCTTTTTATAAAAATATTTTATTTTTAGGCCGGGCGTGGTGGCTCACACCTGTAATCCTGGCACTTTGGGAGGCCAAGGCTTGCGGATCACGAGGTCAAGAGATCAATACCATCCTGGCCAACATGGTGAAACCCCATCTCTATTAAAAATACTAAAATTAGCTGGGCATGATGGTGCATGGCTGTAGTCCCAGCTACTCGAGAGGCTGAGGCAGGAGAATCACTTGAACCCAGGAAGTGGAGGTTGCAGTGAGCCAAGATCGTGCCATTGCACTCCAGCCTGGAGACAAGAGTGAGACTCCCTCTTAAACAAACAAAAACCTTTTCATTTTTATTACTCAAAAAATTTCATATTTAGCTTTCTGACTCTGTTCTTGCCCCTTCAACATCTTCATGATGATTTTCTGCTCCTCAATGAGGAAAACATGCTTGATCCTGCCACAAACACATTTAGCACACATGGAACCACCATAGGCTCTGCTGACATGTTTCTTTGTTTTGGACAATCTCGTAAGAACTTTTGGTCTTATGGCACGAATCCCTCAAAGTCTGCCGGGGCACATACAACATTCAGATTTTAGTGCTTTCCCAATCTTCTTGGTATAAAGGTAAACAATTCTATTACCAGGGGTTCAGGACAGCCTATTTTTGTTAGAGGCTGTATTGTAGGGAAGCCTGCATCGGTATGTGAAATGCTGAACCATTTTGAGTGCCTGTAGATAACGTCTCCTAAAGAGTGAATGGAGCTTTTTTGTCTTTATTTCTACCAGAAGTATTTGTGGTGTGAAAAGAGTGCTGAGTGTAAGGGACTCTGTGCTGTGTCTCCTTTTTCTAGCTAATGCTAATAGCTCGCCCAGGGGGAGCACATCAGCATTGACAGGGGAATTCTTTGAAACAGCCATCCATGGACCCTTTACAAACCTCCAGAATCACATTACATAGAGTTGGACCAACATTACTAAGTGATTTTTGAGCTCATTAAAGTTTGGGAGGCAATGCTTAGCTAAGTGGTTATCAGCCCAGGCTTCTCAGTAGGATTACATGGCCAATTTGCAGAAATCTCTTTACTTGTGCCTTTCCATGGGTTGTGTTTATTTTTCTAGGTGAAACTATTTATGTTGTTTTATTTTTTATTTTATTTTATTTTATTTTATTTTTTTTGAGACGGAGTTTCACTCATGTTACCCAGGCTGGAGTGCAATGGCGCGATCTCGGCTCACCGCAACCTCCGCCTCCTGGGTTTAGGCAATTCTCCTGCCTCAGCCTCCTGAGTAGCTGGAATTACAGGCACGCGCCACCATGCCCAGCTAATTTTTTGTACTTTTGGTAGAGACGAGGTTTCACCATGTTGACCAGGATGGTCTCGATCTCTTGACCTTGTGATCCACCCGCCTCGGCCTCCCAAAGTGCTGGGATTACAGGCTTGAGCCACCGCGCCCGGCATATGTTGTTTTAATTGTGTCTCATGTGACTCTGAGGTGAGACCAGAATTAAGTATGAGGGGTTCAAGATACATTCATGAGAGTGAAGTTTCACCTTTACACGTGGTCACAGGAACTGTTCTATTTGGTTTTGATAGGGAGAGGTCAGTGTGACCTATATTTCCATTACTGCAGCAGAACTTGCTGGTATTTGTGGTGCGCATGGACTCCTGAATACAGAAATAGAGACACCTATTTTTATATTAATGGAGCAGCTCGTTGTTCCTGAAAGTCTTCTGTTATATAAAACAGAAATGGGTGGGCTTTTTCTGCAGGTCTTAGTTCTTTTATCTGTGGGTGTGAGGCTAGCAGGTAAACAGGTGGTGCTGACACCTTTTTTTTTTTTTTTGAGACGGAGTTTCACGCTTGTTACCCAGGCTGGAGTGCAATGGCGCGATCTCGGCTCACCGCAACCTCCGCCTCCTGGGTTCAGGCAATTCTCCTGCCTCAGCCTCCTGAGTAGCTGGGATTACAGGCACGCGCCACTATGCCCAGCTAATGTTTTGTATTTTTAGTAGAGACAGGGTTTCACCATGTTGACCAGGATGGTCTCGATCTCTTGACCTTGTGATCCACCCACCTCGGCCTCCCAAAGTGCTGGGATTACAGGCTTGAGCCACCGCACCCGGCCTGTGCTGACACCTTTAAAGGAATTTTCTGAGGATACTGGTGTAACTACTCCAGAGAACATCATCTGAAAAAGAATTTCCAAAAATGGTGAAAGAAAAAAATTGGCTTTTTTTTGTGTTTGTTTTAGCTAAACGTGTCAGATGAAGAGCTGTGTACACTCTGCCTCCTGGAGTGCCAAGCATTTAGTTGCCACAAACCTTTACTTCTCTACTTGTGTTTCTTTTGCTCTAATGAGTTTAATTAATTTTTTTTTTTTTTTTTTTTTGAGACGGAGTTTCGCTCTTGTTACCCAGGCTGCAGTGCAATGGCGCGATCTCGGCTCACCGCAACCTCCGCCTCCTGGGCTCAGGCAATTCTCCTGCCTCAGCCTCCCGAGTAGCTGGGACTACAGGCACGCGCCACCACGCCCAGCTAATTTTTGTATTTTTAGTAGAGACGGGGTTTCACCGTGTTGACCAGGATGGTCTCGATCTCTTGACCTCGTGATCCACCTGCCTCGGCCTCCCAAAGTGCTGGGATTACAGGCTTGAGCCACCGCGCCCGGCCGAGTTTAATTAATTTTTAAAATTCTGTTGACAGTCAAGGGTGTTTGCTAAATATTTATCTCCTTAATCACAGAGCCATCTCTGCACTTTCTAAATCATGGCTTTTTATATGCCATGCAGAATTCTCACCATGCATTTATAATCTGCAATATTAAAAACGTTGCCTTTGTTGCTGTTGAACATGGAAAGGTGTGGATGCTCAAGATTCCTATTGGGGGAAAGCTGGGGTCCTTAATAAAGATGGAGAACATGTAATGTTGAGGTTTCATTCATTAGCTCTATGTGGAACAGGATTAAGAAAATGCTTATTTAGCCGGGCGCGGTGGCTCAAGCTTGTAATCCCAGCACTTTGGGAGGCCGAGGCGGGTGGATCACAAGGTCAAGAGATCGAGACCATCCTGGTCAACATGGTGAAACCCCGTCTCTACTAAAAATACAAAAATTAGCTGGGCGTGGTGGCGCGTGCCTGTAGTCCCAGCTACTCGGGAGGCTGAGGCAGGAGAATTGCCTGAGCCCAGGAGGTGGAGGTTGCGGTGAGCCGAGATCGCGCCATTGCACTCCAGCCTAGGTAACAAGAGCGAAACTCCGTCTCAAAAAAAAAAAAAAAAAGAAAAAAGAAAATGCTTATTTAGACAAGATGGCATTTATTACCCTGAAAGTGTAATAACCTAACCTGGGTTAGCCTAACTGACTCCATCTTAGCTGCAAACCTGACAAGCCCTCTTGAGCCTTTCCCTCTCTGCTGAGGCCTCTCCGGTGCATTACTGGGTCACATGCTGCACTCAAAGCTTTGAACTGCACTCAAAGCTTTGAACTGCACTCAAAGCTTTGAAGGGTTAAAAGTGGTTCACGGCACCTGTAACCACTGTAACCACATCCTACTTCCCAAGTCTATCTGCTATTGTGAATCCCTTCCTTGGTGATTGATTGTATGGAAAGCTCCCCCTGGTATCCCTCTTAGTGATTGTATGGATATACCCTTAGCAACCAACAATCCTGGGAACTTCCTGTCCCCTGGTTACCAGCTTCCTTACCTAACTTGCTGGTTCTGCTTCTGTAAAATTCTGCCTCAGCTAGGCTCCGGCTCCCCTACATAAATCTAGGTATAAAAGATAATCAAGCCCCTTCCTTGGGGCCAAGAGAACTTTGAGCATTAGTCGAGGTCGCCGGCCAATAAAAAGGACTCTTAATTTGGAACTCAGTGTGTGGTGCATTCCTTCTAACTCACTCGGTTATTACAAAAGCTCTGAAACAAAAATTATTAGGAGATACCTGCTCTCGAGGGTGATAAAGACTACTTTAAATTGTTATTAAAAATTACGGAACAGGCCGGGCACGGTGGCTCAAGCCTGTAATCCCAGCACTTTGGGAGGCCGAGGCGGGTGGATCACGAGGTCAAGAGATCGAGGCCATCCTGGTCAACATGGTGAAACCCCGTCTCTACTAAAAATACAAAAAGCATTAGCTGGGCATGGTGGCGCGTGCCTGTAATCCCAGCTACTCAGGAGGTTGAGGCAGGAGAATTGCCTGAACCCAGGAGGCGGAGGTTGCGGTGAGCCGAGGTCACGCCATTGCACTCCAGCCTGGGTAACAAGAGCGAAACTCCGTCTCCAAAAAAAAAAAAAAAAAAAAAAAAAATTACGGAACATGGAAGATATCTGTATCTTGAACGCTGCATAAAACTGATTTTTCTGTATGGTTAAATTCAGACTATAATTTTCTTTTTGGGGAGCAGTATCTCAGCAGTGATGCTTTCTTCTTCACTGTACATCAGCACATCGTAAAACATTGTACTGTGCCCGCATCAGCCTTGGTTCCTATCTGAGTCATGGCACCAAAAAAAAGAAAAAAGAAAAAAAATTGTCCTAGCCCAGTTGGGTTTATGGGCTTAATAAAACCAGGCACGGTGGCTTAATGCCTATAATCCCAGCACTTTGGGAGGCCAAGATGGGTGGATCACAAGGTCAAGAGATCAAGACCATTCTGGCCAACATGGTGAAACCCTGTCTCTACTAAAAAAATACAAAAAATTAGCTGGGCATGGTGGCACATGCCTGTAGTCCCAGCTACCTGGGAGGCTGAGGCAGGAGAATTGCTTGAACCCAGAAGGCAGAGGTTGCAGTGAGCTGAGATTGTGCCACTGCACTCCAGCCTGACGCCTGGTGACAGAGCCAGACTCTGTCTCAAAAAAAAGAAAAGAAAATTTACTTAAAGAGCTCTCTAAAATATATATTTCACTATAGAGTTACTTATATTTCTCCTCCTTATTAAGTTTTTTTTTTTTTTGAGACGGAGTTTCGCTCTTGTTACCCAGGCTGGAGTGCAATGGCACGATCTCGGCTCACCGCAACCTCCGCCTCCTGGGTTCAGGCAATTCTCCTGCCTCAGCCTCCTGAGTAGCTGGGATTACAGGCACGCGCCACCATGCCCAGCTAATTTTTTGTATTTTTAGTAGAGACGGGGTTTCACCATGTAGACCAGGATGGTCTCGATCTCTTGACCTCGTGATCCACCCGCCTCGGCCTCCCAAAGTACTGGGATTACAGGCTTGAGCCACCGCGCCCGGCCATTATTAAGTTTATTTATGCAGCTAAAGAAGAGCTGTGCATAAACCATCACATAATTTAATCTGGCAGCTGCCTTCTTGTTTTTTTTTTTGCACATCTCTGTCTTTGGAAAATGAAGACTCTTTGTTTACAGGTCAGAATAACTGGATAAAACACAGGATGTTTGTTTCTACTTACTGGATGTTTGGCAAAATACTCGTTTTGTGCCAAACACTTTGGCATTACTAGTGAGCTTATTAGAAATTCAGAAACTCATATACAATTGAATAAAAGAGCTTAGGGACTGGAAAAGAAAAAAAAAAAATTCAGAAACTCAGACTTTATTTTAGATCTTCTGAAGAAAAAAATGCACAAGATCTCCAGTTTAATTTACACATTAAAATGTAAGAGGTGCCTTTCTTTCTTTTTTTTTTTTTTTCTGAGATTGAGTCTTGCTGTGTCACCCGGAGTGCAGTAGCATTATCTTGGCTTAGTGCAACCTCCACCTGCTGGGTTCAAGCAATTCTCTGGCCTCAGCTGCCCGAGTAGCTGGGACTATAGATGCCTGCCACCATGCCTGCTAATTTTTTGTTATTTTTAGTAGAGACAGGGTTTCACCATGCTGACCAGGCTGGACTCAAACTCCTGACCTTGTGATCTCCCCGCCTCAGTCCCCAAAGTGCTGGGATTACCGGTGTGAGCCACCTCACCCTGCCGTAAAAGGTGCCTTCTAATTCAACATGTTTTTTCTGTCTGAAACGTATTGACAACTGATTCTTTGTGATGCAATATAGCACTAAAACTGTACGTTTGTGCTTATGCCTTTAGTTTTATACTTTATCATTCATAAAAGTATTATATATACTGGTGTTGTGGATCTTATACCATTCTCTTTTCTCAGAGTTAGAGAATAAATTAGATAATATTTCTGTGTTAAAAATGGTTGGATAATTTTAGTCATTTCTGTAAGTCAGAACCAATTTTCCTTACTCTTTCATTTAACCTTAACTTAATAAATTCCACCCATGGACAGTTGTAAATCTCTCTCTCTCTCTCTCTCTCTGTGTGTGTGTGTGTGTGTGTGTGTGTGTGTGTGTGTGTGTGTGTTTTTCAGGGGCCGTTGACATTTAGGGATGTGGCCATAGAATTCTCTCTGGAGGAGTGGCAGTACCTGAACCCTGCTCAGCAGGATTTGTATAGAAAAGTGATGTTAGAGAACTACAGAAACCTGGCTTTCTTAGGTGAGAATAACTTTAATACACAATTCCTTATATATCCTAAAGGTTTCATTTCTCTGTTTTTCTAAAATAACTTTTGGTAATTTATGCTTTCCATAAATAAATTTCTAATCCATTTTTTCAAAAAATCTTGAGGAATTGTCCATGTAGAAAAAACTTAAATGTTTTATCTTGGCCTGAACTTTTTACATTCCTGAGTTGGTCTGTATCCTTTACTCTAGAGTAGTGGCAATTTCAGAAATTTAGTGGTATAAAATATTGTTGCCCCTATGTAATTCTACTTGCCACCACTAATTTTTGACTCATAAGTACTGGTAGTAAAATTAAGAACTTATTAATTTAAAATATTTTCTAAATGTTAAGAATTTTCTGTCATTAATAGTATTTTGGGATTAATTTTCTAGAATATTCTATGATATCATCTTTACTAAGCATGATACTAGATTGATAATTTGAGAATGTGAGCAAGATTCATGTACTTTATTTTTAATAAAGCAGGTATTGCTGTCTCTGAGGCAGATCTGGTCACCTGTCTGCAGCAAGGAAAAGATATGAAGAGACACAGTATGGTAGCCAAGCCCCCAGGTAGGTGAGAGTAAATAAAACAGTTGACATAGTTAAAAGGTTGGAAGATTTAAAAAAAAAAAAAAAAAAAGCTGGGGGCGGTGGGGCACACCCCTGAAACCCAAG